CCAAGGGATTGGCAAAGATAGACCTTTGGCCCCCCCCGGCATGGAAAGCCACGGGGACTGCGATCTGTGCCTTGGTGCCTTGTCGGTCTCAGGACGGTGTTTGTCCGACGGGGGTGCCGCCGATGGTGCGCTGCGGACAGAGTGAGGCTGCTCCTCGCTCTGAGGCTGCAGTGCCGACTCCATTAGTAGGAGTTTCAGCCGGGAGTCTCTCTCCTTTTTGGTCCGGGGTTTAAAGCTCTTACAGAGAGCAGCTTTCAGCCTGAAGCATTCTCCAGCTACCGTCATGGGCGGTAAGAAGGAACTGAGGGGGTGGAGGGGCCAGCAGGGATATATATGCACTGGTATACTGGCGCCACTCCAGGGGCTTCCCTGCTGGCCCTATGGATACTGCTAAGGGAAAAAAGCTCCGGAATCCGTGAACGCGGCGTGCGTACACCTAATCAGAATGGACATGAGCAAGCACTCAAAGAAGAATCTTCTATTGTTTGCCTGCTACATAATAGTTTAGCCTCCTGTAAACTTAGTCCTGTAAACATCGCTTTAGGTTGATGGTGTTCTGTGATACTACTTAGATAAGATTAGTGGTTTTAAAACATATTTGATCAAGCCCCTCCCCTCTCTCCCGTAGTCATTTATGCCCCTCATATACTGCCACCTAGCTCTGAAGGCAGCCCAGGAGCAGCAACAATACAGAAATAAGGTCGGCACTGTGAACAGTGATATTTGTCCATGTCACTTTTCAGTTCGCAGCAGATGTAATGCTCCATTGCCTGCGCGCTATTGCTGCTTCCCCAGGTAGCTGGCAGCCTGAGCCTGTCAGCCCCCTGAGGTAGCAACAAGATGGGGGACTGGCAGAAGAATGGGAAGGAAGGACAGCCTGAATCCAAATGGCAGGGCTCTGACTTTCCCCTTTATTTCCACCTCCCAGGCTTCTGCAGGGGCACCAGCTACCGGGAGCTAACAGCCAGAGCTCTTTAAAAGAAAAAAAATATCGTTTGATAGGCCTGCTCCTGACTTTAAGAACTCCTGAACTAGATAATCTGGTGGTCCCTTCTAACATGAAACTCTGACTCTGAGCAGTGGTCCCATATTTCCAGGTTCAATTCTGCCAAAGCTTAAGCATGGGATTAGGTATTTGAGAATGGAGCCCCAAGTCAGGCTGCAAAGCAATGAAAGTGCGGCCGGAGGAAGACGGAAAGGGAGGCGTTTGCAATCCGCTCTCAGCATTTATCCAAACTTTCACAAATATGTCCCATCCTCTCTGTTTTCACTCGGCATGCAAAGGAGGTGTGCGCCGAGCAGTGGGGGCCACACTGTCAACATCCTCCAGCTCACAGGCGGGCAATAATTTTTAATGGGGGGCCACTCCACAATTTTGGCAAATGGTCAAGGGCCACCCTTGTATGATGGGGTATGCAGTCAGGGATGGAGGTTGGGTGCAGAAGGGGACTTGAGAGAAAGGACTAGAGTACAGGAGGGGTTGAAGGGCCTGAGGGGAGTACAGGAGAGGGTGAGGGGTCTAAGAGAAAGTGTACGTGAAGGAGGGGGCTGTGATCGGGGCAGGGGTTTGGGGTGCACGGTCCAGTAAGTGGTATGGGTGTAGGAGAGGATTTTGGCCTGGGGAAGGGGTTGTAAGAGAGGATATGTCTACACTAGCCCCCTAGTTCGAACTAGGGAGGCTAATGTAGGCATTCGAAGTTGCAAATGAAGCCCGGGATTTAAATATCCCGGGCTTCATTTGCATCTTCCCGGGCGCCGCCATTTTTAAATGTCCCTTAGTCCGAACTCCGTGCCCACGGCTACATGCGGCATGGAGTAGGTAGTTCAAATTAGGATCTCTAATTCGAACTACCGGTACTCCTCATGGAAGGAAGGAGGCTCAGGCAGCGTGCCACTCCAGCCTTCCCCTGGGTGGCCAGAATTAGCCCCTTGGGAGACATGGGGGTGCAGTGACACCCTTCACACCCCCCTCTTCCCACATATGTGCCTGCATAAACTGAAAGAACACTTTCAGGTTAGATCCTGCAGTACCTGCTTGTCTCTCTGCTTCCTACTCTGTCTGCTACCAAGCACAGAAAAAGCATCAATTAGAAGTGTTGCAGGAATGAAGTTGGCAAAGTGGAGTTCCCTAAGAGAGGGGACTGTCCCTACCGGCTAGGAGAGACTCTCTGCTCCGTCCACAGCAGGGAGCTACTGCTGTCACTGAGGGAGAAATGCCCCTTCCCCAGCCTGGCAGCTCCATGCACAGAGCCTTGAGCCCCTGGCTGGGTGGGGCTGATTAAGCAGCTGTGGTGTCGTGCTCTCACACAGCTTAGAGGGAACCCTGATCAAGTCCCTGCCTCCCTCAAACGTTTTTGGGGGTGGAAGGGAGACTAAGGTCCTCCATCTGTCACTCTCTAGCACAAAAATCCAATGGCAACATACTCAACAGATCCCTCTGCAGGCCCAAAGTCAATGGTGCTGGCTTCACCAATACTAGCACCAGGTGTCCCTGTGTAGCACCATGGTTGCACTGTCAGACCCAGCTGTTTTAGTTGTGGACAAGCGCCCCCCTCAATTCTGTCCACCTTCTTGTACTGCTTATGGGACACCAGAGAGCACAAGCCGTGACGTGTTACCTCTGCAGGCTTCAGCGCTGGGGAGTGTCAGTGTCAAGGGTATCTATGCTCAGAATCCTAGAGCCCGGTGCATTACACAGGTGCTCTATGACAAATCTTGCCAGGCCAGAGCTGCTGGGGACAGAGGGCTGGCTCCATAAGTAGAGGTTTCCACCTGTAGTCTCTTTCCTTTTTGTCCTCAATTGGAACCCTATGCAGATCTTGCTGAGATCTGTTTGGTGCACCTCCCCCAAACACTTCAGGCAGGAGTCATGGGGGTAGTCCATTGGCTGCGCTTGTGTCAGGTCCCGCATGGCTTAAACCTTTGGGATCAAGGAATTTCCCAAACTCTCAGAAGGGAAAAATAGGATGGAGAAAAAAACTAATTAACTATTTACAGAACACTCAAAGTTCAATCACTTGGGGAAGTGCTTGTAGAGGCAAGCGAGACACACAGCTCCATCCACCCTCACTGGCAATAAGAAGGAACTGAAGAGGTGGTGGGTTGGCAGTTACCTATATTCACCACCATGAAGATATGACAGCCAGGAGCTCCAAAGATGCTCTGAAGGGTGCTACTAGGCTAGGGGGAAAGCTACCAACTTTACACACAATGTATGCAAACCTATTTGGAATCAATATGAGCAATCACTTGAAGAAAATAAGA